GTACAGTCTACAATCTTTGGTGTGGTGGGGGAGAAAAAAGATTTTACTTTATGTGGACTGGCCTGCCGTCATGAATGATTTAGTGCGGTATATCCTTACCAATACTTGAGCGGCATTCCCACCACTTGATGAATCATAGGACTCCTTGGCTCTGTCCTTTGCGCCTTTAAAGTGTGTTTGTACTTTTGTAGTCAAATTTGAAAAAACGCCTCTATGTCTGGTGTTTCTATTCACACATAATACCTAAAAATACATTAAAAAAAGATGTTTCTTTGGAGCAGGCCTCTGGACAGACTACAAGCTGCTCTGAACAGTTTCATAGTGAAAGCGTGGGAGGGGGATGGGCTGTGGACAGACTTTCCCCTCACGTTACATTTAATGCGAAATCCAAGCCTGTAGACCTTTTAAGCCTTTGTTAGGACAGACCGTTCTACTATGTGAATGGGAGCATGTAACATAGAAATTAGGTATTATCCCAAATTGGCTGCAAAAAATGGAAGTACACTTTAAGCCATGTGTAGGCTTGCTGTCATCAGCCCGAGGAATGAATGAGAAAAATAAACACTCACTCCCACTATTCATGCTAAACAACGAGGGTGGAGGAATCTCCACTTCTGGCTATTGTATTAGACAGCCATGAAACCTGTGACTGTTTAAATAAATGAGCAGTGACTACACCTGGTTGGATGCAGTCACTGGTCAGCTGAGAATTTTGTTACTTGGCTTGAACTGTGACTTTGTCAAGAGAAATGGTAAGAAATTCGAACCACGCTTCATTAACCATCATTGTGACCCTCAAATGTGCACATTTCCCTAACAATGTGAGAGGTATAGCTTACAGCATTAGAAATGATCATTCAGAAGCAAAATAAATCTTTAGTTTTAGGGATACACAGATACTTTTTGAGTACCAGTGCCGATACTTGGCATTTTTGCGAGAACTACCAGGGTTGCAGAAGTTGCAGCTGGGACCTGGCTCTGGTGCTCCACCACTGTCCTGAAATCATTTGTTGATATTGTTTTAGAAAAACTGTCACATGACAAAAAACAAATGTATCAGTACTTGTATCTGTGAGCGAGTACATTAAAACCGATGTAGAAATCCCAGGAGCTCCGTGTGCTCCTTACAAATGACAGCTGCCTCCTAACTTTTGAATTTTCCTCTAGTCTTGGAGCTCGAAAAGTATCTGTACTTGTACCGAGTACTATACTTGGTATCGATGCATCCCTATTTAGCATGGTGTATAGGAATCTTCCAGCTAATATGTGTGATGGAGAATAGCAATTTGAATGCCTTTTTGAAGTTCATAGTTGACTTCAGGGCTGTTGGGATAAGAGATCAGCAAGCATAGGTGGATATCTTCCCATGTATGACTATCCATTATGACTCAAAGTCAATCCTGAATTTGAGTACGTCACTACTTCAGCAGAGGGCTGTATGGGTCAGCAATGTGCTGGAAGGATGATAATGATGCTGCAAAGATATTTACAATGTTCATAGGATACTAATAACTTCCTCATTTTTCCAAGGTTATAATTTTTTTTATTATATGATTCAATCAGGGCTAGACAACTTCAGCACTCCAGCTGTTGTGGAACAACATGCCCCATGATGCATTGCAAGAGGCTGACAGCAAAGGCATGGCTCCCAGAGACAGATGCATGATGGGATATATAGTTTCACCACCACTGCAGTGTCGAGATTGCCTACCCCTGGAATCAATCAGCCACACAGGAGGTGCATTGTCTTTATTGGGTTGGCAGACCTATAGATCTGGAATGCGAGAAGCACAGCTATTATGTGGTGCTGGATAATAAACGGAAAAAATTAATCTATATGTTTATATAACCAATTCTATACAATTACTATAAAGCTGATCCCTTTATATGTGTAAAAAAAAAACATTTGGAAAGATAATCTGTTCCTTTTACGTCCTTCTATACAAAGAGCTGTCTGTGACATTTTAGTAATAACCGGTTTCTTTTCCGTTCCTTTCAGCTTAGGTCTGATCTCCGATTCCTTCCATATGTTTTTCGACTGCACAGCATTGTTAGCTGGCCTAGCTGCTTCTGTGATATCCAGGTGGAAGACAAATGACGCGTTCTCATATGGGTAAGAAATCTGCGTAGATATCTGCAGGGGTTTCTGTGGAAGGGTCCTAGGAGTTCTTCTCACGTCTGAAAGAGTTTATCTGGACGCTTCAACTTCTCAGACTTCATGGCTTCTACACAGATTGTCCCTACTGAGTGTATGTTACTGTATTCCCCTGAAAGGTACATTGGACTTGTACACTTCCAGAGGAACTAGAAGGGATTTTGAGTGGTTCAGACGCAACAGCACATTTATGGCTTACATGTAACGGAATACTTTTTAACCTGAGAAAACACAGTAAATTATAACAGAAGTAAAGCAAAACCTTTTTTGGCCTTAACTTCTCATTCAGGTCACAGAAGTACATTTATTAATGTCCTCTTGTGACCCAAAGTCAGCATCTAGCGGGCTACTGGTCGCTCCTATGCTGATAGCACAGAACTGTGCCGCAGCTGAGATGGATCCTGACAATATTGTTGGGAACTGCCTGATTGACAGCTGGCTCTGCCTCTCTAGAGCCAGCTATGCCCGCCCCTTCCCCTTTCTGTCCTTCCAATGAGCGCTGGAGGAATCTCTATGGAGAGCAGTGAATGACAGTGGTTCCTCTCTGCAGGGAGAAGACCTTGAGCTGAGTGATCAGCGGTTACATAGTTGCTCAGCTTTTAGTATATAGAGCAATCGTGTGACAGCTGCAGTGTCCCAAGCCACTTCTAAGTATTGGGAAGTGTATATTTTACTATTCCAATACTTCTTTAATATATATTTGGCTTTTATACTAAATCACTCGGGATATAAATCTGTTTAAAGTGCTAAAAATCTATGAGACTCTATCCTGGAATGTTCCCTGCAATGCTGTCTAACAATTGTGGCTGAATGTTTAATATAAATTAATATTATCACTCTGTGGCTATAAGCTATGATGTATTGTGTTGGATACAGTCACAAATGGCTACCATGCAAAATGTTTATTTACTTAGGTCTGAGCACAAACCCCAGGTGGGGACTCCAGACGGAGGTGGGAAGAGGTTCATTAGGAAGAGTAGTTTGCCTGATGGTCAGTCATATATTGTTTATTACCGGCATTTATAGAACCATCAGATTGGTTTACCTGTTGGTCAGTCGTGTATTCTTTATTACATAACCATCAATTTGCATAGAACTTTACATACTTTTCATTTATATCAGTCCCTGCCCTCAAGGAGCTCACAATCTAAGGTCCCTATCTCATATGTATACTAGAGGCAATTTAGACCGCAAACCTACCATCATGTATTTTGGAAGGGAACCCATGCAAACGCCATGCAGAGTGTGCCCTGGGCAGTGTTCATACTGGAGACCCCAGTGCTGCAAGGCAAAAGTGCTAACCACTGAGCCACTGTGCTACTCATCATCATCACAACCTTTTCAGTGTCCAAATGCAACCCATCGCGTTAAAACACGCAGTGCCCTCTTGTAATGGAAAGTTGTTGACATGCATTCTTGCCACTTAAATATGATCTCTGTCTTCTGTCCCCTTTGTTTCATCTTAATATGCCAGTGTTTCTCTTAGAGACCGCCATTTCCTCTCCAACATGGCCAACACAGGCTATTCGTGCAGACCTATTTGGTCCACAAGCAAAATGAACTTTCCCTGTAGGAAGTAGTCATTGGAATGAATATGTTCTTCCACAGGATATTCCAGCATATAATAAACAGATTCACTGCTTTATCTACCATCAGAATGCCTCCTGTTACTGCTGCCAGACTTTGGAGAAGCACTGGGTTGGCATGTAGTCGCTGGTATTCTCTGAATGGGCCTGAATCTACCACCTGTTGACTACAGTGTACATGTGTTACTATAGAGGAAATTGCTTTCTATGATATGTACAGATGGTGGCACTTATTTCCTGCTGAATGCAAACCAATTTGTGTTCACACCGTATATCTGAGAACATTGCTGAGAGCTTCTATGGAACACTTTGTGCAGAGCCCAGGTAAGCACAGGCACATTATTTGGGGTGGTGCAATACCTAGTGCTCATGAGCATGAATCTTCCGAGGCAGGGGTAATACCCTGCTGCGCAGATATACAGCATCTCACTTTATTTATATCCCATTAGTCCAATTTTTAACAACAACGACAACAGTCATGGTGTTGTGTTTTTTTTGTTTTAATAATACATTTTTGAAGGTTGCAGACTATTTTGATGTAGGCCGTAATGGGAAGAGCAGGGCCTGCTGTGGTATAATTGTGTAAATATTTGCAAAGCCTTGCCGTGGAAACAGGATCTTTATACATTTGTTAATATCCTGCTACAGTTTCTGTATCCTGGTCTGTGTATGTTGTTGGAGTCAATTAACATTTGAGTGAAGAGAGACTTGGGTGCAGTGTGGTTTAAAGCTGAAGTTTATTTAAAATTTTTGGAGGGTATGTAGACCCTGGTACATAATGTACCTGTAATCAAGTGTGCCCGTCTTCTGCTGGCTACTGCGTAGTATAAAAATCAGAGTCCGTGCCTCCAGTGACTCTGTATACACCTCATAGCACTGATCTGGCACTGCAGGGGTTAAGTTCAGTGGCTATAACTGAACCATAGGCAGCGCTCGCACTCATCTTCCTATTCTCGAATTGGTAGTATTCTTTCCCATTCTGTGACTATAGGAGAGCATCCTGTCATTCATTCGCCCGTCCTCCATTCACAGAACGCTTTGCATTCTGGAAAAGAATACTACGAGTTCTGTAAATCGGCAAGACCGGAAGAAGGGGAGGGTGATTGGTGTCAATACGTTACTAGCAGATGCTGAGCTGATCTTCTGGCGATGCAGGGGTTAAGATCAAATGTGAGGGAAGATTTCTACACTAGACAGCACTTAGCAGGACTTGGGGCACACTTCATTAGAGGTAAGTTATGCCTCTAGTGCGCCAAAAAAAGTCAGCTTTAAGTATATTTGGCCTTCCTTGCCACCAGAGGCTAATGGTGAACCTACTGAAAGTCCCCCATCACACCCTTCCCTTCTGCTGCTGAAGATTCTCCTTTGATGTCAGTGGAGCTGGCACTTACCAAAGCAATGAGATCAGCGCCTGCTGCAGAACTTCACTGCATGGCTGTGATCATTATAATTTTGCCTGCAAGGTTTTCTCATTGGAACAGAGTCGGTGAGGTAAATGTTTAGAAAGGAGTAGAGCATGTTTGCTTTGCAAAGTGGATTTCTGCTTGGCTTGGTGGAGTAAGGTGAAGCTGTGTTCACTTTCAATACCCAAGTGATTGAAGTCAACGCAACTTCCTCATTCACGAAGATGAGTGAAAATGAACCTTGCTAAGTGAACAGCCCATATTCTCTTAGTAAATGAACCCCAAAGTATAGGTTCAATGTTAATTGCATCATACGTTGTCCTTCATGACAGTGCTAAGTACACAGTATGTCTGATCTCTCTGCGGTTTTCTTACAGGTTCGTCCGGGCAGAGGTCCTGGCAGGTTTTGTGAATGGTCTGTTCCTAATCTTTACAGCATTTTTCATCTTCTCGGAAGGAGTGGAGGTATGTTGTATTCAGGGAACCATTTATTTATCTGGGGAATTTAATAGGGATGCACCAAACTGTAATCTTTAGCCCGAAACCAAGAATACAAAATTTGTCAAATCAAAACCGAAAATTACTGTTTTTTTTTTTTTTCAAATTATTTTTTCTTTACTGTTGGGGGACTTCGGTGAAATATCAGGGGTCTAAGCAGACCCCTGATATTTCCATTTTAGAATAGAAAAAGAGATTGAAGACACAGAGTGCTAAATCTTCTTCCTTTTTTTTGCAGCCCCTGTTGTGAATGAACAGGAAACCTCTATACCGAGTGCTCCTGTCCGTTCATAAACTGTGGATATAGTATGAGTTACTATGTCCACAATCAAGAATCAACAGAAAGTAATGTAGAGCACTTCCTGTTCATGCATAATTAGGGACACCGTAAGCAAACTGTCCTCATTGTTTGTAACCTGCTCTCCATCCTGACTTGCTGTCACAGGAGGCTGAGCCAGGTGGTGTGGGAGGAGAACTCTGCCTCCTGTGATAGCTGTCTCTTCCCTGCACTGCCCCGCTCTCCATCCTGACTCGCTGTCACAGGAGGCTGAGCCAGGTGGTGTGGGAGGAGAGCTCTGCCTCCTGTGATAGCCGTCTCTTCCCTGCACTGCCCCGCTCTCCATCCTGACTCGCTGTCACAGGAGGCTGAGCCAGGTGGTGTGGGAGGAGAGCTCTGCCTCCTGTGATAGCTGTCTCTTCCCTGCACTGCCCCGCTCTCCATCCTGACTTTCTGTCACAGGAGGCTGAGCCAGGTGGTGTGGGAGGAGAACTCTGCCTCCTGTGATAGCTGTCTCTTCCCTGCACTGCCCCGCTCTCCATCCTGACTCGCTGTCACAGGAGGCTGAGCCAGGTGGTGTGGGAGCAGAGCTCAACCTCCTGTGATAGCTGTCTCTTCCCTGCATTGCCCCGCTCTCCATCCTGACTCGCTGTCACAGGATGCTGAGCCAGGTGGTGTGGGAGGAGAGCTCTGCCTCCTGTGATAGCTGTCTCTTCCCTGCACTGCCCCGCTCTCCATCCTGACTCGCTGTCTCAGGAGGCCGAGCCAGGTGGTGTGGGAGCAGAGCTCAACCTCCTGTGATAGCTGTCTCTTCCCTGCACTGCCCCGCTCTCCATCCTGACTCGCTGTCTCAGGAGGCCGAGCCAGGTGGTGTGGGAGCAGAGCTCAACCTCCTGTGATAGCTGTCTCTTCCCTGCACTGCCCCGCTCTCCATCCTGACTCGCTGTCTCAGGAGGCCGAGCCAGGTGGTGCGGGAGGAGCGCTCGGCCTCTAGTGACAGCTGTCTCCTCCCTGCATTGCCCCTCTTGCCATCCGGAATCGCTTGTCAGATGAGGCTGAACGGGCGGTGTGGGGAGGAGAGCCCGGCTCTCCTGTGACATGCGACTCAGGATAGAGAGTGCATTACAAACACTCGGCTCGGCTAATGCGTTCTGGAAATAATCCAAGACATAGGGACATCACGATTGAGAGTATTTTGACTAGGCTGCAGGGGAAATGCACACAGCATGCAGGTATGGCAATGGGATCGGACTATATTTTTAAAGTGACACAGTGCATTTACAACTACTGGGGCTCCTTGTCTGTGTGTGCCAGTTTGCATTCAAGGTGAACGTTTGCCTTTTAAGCTGTAAACGGTCAGTCCTGAATGGGACATATCTTGTGTGGTCAAATGAGCCATGTGCCTTACCAGCACGAGTTTGTTTCATTATTTGCTACAGAGACGGAATGTAACTGGTTGAGAATCATCTTCTCTGATGTAAGGGGAATTTCCGGCTACAATCCTTGTTGCTTTCATCTCCCTTCATTCTCTTCATCAGAACAATAGAATAGTAACCAAACAGGTGAAATGATACTCAGTTAAACTTGCTCATTACCTTGCCTACATTAGTTGGCCGTTCTAGCACTTTTAGATTAGGCTTTGCAAGTCTTCTGCATATGAATACCAAATGTATTTGTTACAGACAGTTGTCACATTACTTGATATTGCAATGGCTGCAGAATCATTGACGAATAAGTCACCGCTATCATGCTCACATTTGTTTGTAACAATTTTGTATTGTGTATGTAATGTACAATCTTTTCTGATATAACAGGCATGGGCAACCTGGGTCTCCAGCTGTGGTAAAACTACAAATCCCATAATGCCTCTGGAAGTCAGGCCTGTTGCTGTCAGTCTTGCAATGCATCACTGGACTAGATCCACAACAGCTGGACTGTGTTACAGCCTAACTCCAGGCAATTTACTGTATTCGTTCCCTAGCAGAAGCTTAAAGTAGTTCAGGCTGCATAACTCGCCTCCTCCAGTGCTGTCCACTACAATAATTCCAATTCGCAATTAGATGACTTCAGTTGAATTGTTTTGCAAGTTACATGTTAGTCACTGGAAGGACATAGCGTGAATGGTTTCATGGGCCCATACCCTGAGGGGTGGCACAACATGTGATGCAGAGGGTGGCACTGACGTCACCATGCCAGCAACATTCAGCACCATTGGTTGAATATTTACAGAGGAGGCCACTGTGCGTCGTGACCACGCTATAAAATAATTAAAAATAAAAATGCCTCTGGGAGGTGGTGGGAGCCCACAGTTTTGGCAAAAGTCGCCGGGAGTCTGTTTAAACAGCCCCGATGCTGGCGACGTACACTGTACGTCGTCAGTCACGAAGGGGTTAAGTAAAAGTCCAACTGAGAATAAACTTTCTTATGCTGCTCTTTAAAACCCTCTACAATTCAGTATACCTTTTTACTTTACTTTCCAGCTCTGCTTAACAGTCTTGGACAATTTTTCATGTGGGGTTCCTGTTATGTTTTTGTTTAGCGAGCTTTGGACACCCCAGAGGTCCATCATGACCGGCTGCTTCCAGTGTCTGTCCTGGGATTCCTAGTAAATCTCATTGGAATATTTGTGTTCCAGCATGGTGGAAATCACCATGGCCATTCACATGAAGGAGGTAAGTTATCTTGTATAAAATAACAAAAACAGCCTGTTGTGGTTGGCAGCTTGAAGCTAAAGTTTGTTTGAGAACTTTATTGTTTGTGAACATTGGAGGCCGGGGAAGGCAGCAGAGAGTAGAAATGGGGGGGATTTATTCTGAGCTATGTTTAGGCTGGGTTCACACCTAGGCGTATTGAATATGCCCGTCTGTCGCGCGTTTCCGAGGGCTACTTGGCTGTATCCCAATGGAAACGCCCAACAAAAACGGCCAAAAGAAGTACATGTACTTGTTTGAGCGTAGGCCGTTTTGTAGAGCCTTGAACGCGCGACAAAACGTAAAGGTGTGAACAGGGCCTTAGAAGGGGGGCTGTTCTTGGGTCAGACTACTTAAAGAAAAAAATGGAATCTAACAATCAAATGGATAAAGCGTAAAGGGAGTATGTGTACAAAGAGCTGTTTACATCTGCATTTACTGAACGTGTTGTGATGCAGGGCTGCTCTTTATCATTAGGCTACATTCACGCAAGGTGCAATTAGATGCGTTTATATACATTTAAAATGGTTTTCTAAGTGCATATATATGCCTCTAATGATTTCCAATAGGTATATTCACACCTTGCTTTTATCTGCAGTCAGTGTAGATGCGTTTAGACAAAATAAAGTTGGGTGCATCCAGGAATTTATTTGAACTTCTAAACACATGTAAATGCCAGATGCATTTATTTGCTGAATACAGGGCAGGTGTGGTTTTTTTTCTTCTCTACAATTAGCCCTGCTGTGGGCTAGCAGGTCTAAATGTAGAGCAGGGAAGCCGACACTCGTTTTATACAAGTAATCTTTTGTGATCACCTGCTTGCAACCTGCTTGTCCCAACTGTGTTTTTCAGGGTCCCACACTCTTCAGGGGGACCCGGAAACCACAGCAAATGACTATAGGATGGAGAGTGAAAAGCCGGCTGAACGTCCATTCTCCAATCTGCTCTGTGTGATCAGTGAGACATGAGCTCTGTACGCAGAGCACTTCCTGTCTCGGCTGTCACAAGTCGGGGCTGCATAAGAGATCGAGCACAACATTGTGCTGTACTGGAGGGCAGGCTCCATAAACCGAACCTGTCACCTTCAGACACTATTACATAGGGGCTTGTTATCCCCCGTGTGACTAGCCATAAAGTTAAGTAAACAAATATAAAATAATAAAAACAAAATATTAAAACCAACCCTGTTTCCCCCCATAAACACAGGCGTAGGGCATTGTGTATACGCTGAGTGCTGCCCCCATTCCACTTTGTGCCACATTGTGGTAGCCAGGCAGCAGCGCTCTCTAACGCACAATGTGCATTAAAGTGCAAGTTCACTTTCCCAAGTAATTTGGGAAAATGGAATTGCCCATTCAGATTCCCATATAGGCAGCATTGTTTTTGTACTATATGGTGTAAAGGCTAAACATTAAATTATAAAAGTGTTTTTACGTTGAAAAGGTTGATGCATTTTTTTTTGGAGGGGCTGCAACCAACTAATCGATTGAGAATAGTTGTCAACTATTCTCATTATCGATTAGTTGGCTGGATCCCCTAGCTCTCCCCTCCATGCAGGGAGGAAAGCACAGCAAGCAGGTGGGCGGGTGCAATAGCTGGCCTGTTTTGCAATTTGAAATGGTCAATAGAAAGCTGGCTATCGCACCCGCCCACTGCCTGCTGTATTTACATTCAGCTACCGTGTGCGGAATTTTGCCACTGGCAGCTGTCATTCCCTAGCTGAAGCTATTCAAACTCCATGTGCTTACAATACAATTATTAACAAAACATTTTATAAAAAGGTGGGAAAAAGTTCCTTTTCGGTTTCAGACTGACAAATTCTGGTGCGGGAGGTGTGTTGCATTGCCATTCATTTCAGTGGCACCCCAAACTTGCCTCCCACCCACAGTGTGATCACCCGCCCTGGAACGTACGGTACCGCTATGCTGTGCGTTCCAGTGCAGTGCGATTTGCAAACAATTGTGCATGCAGTTTTTTTCTGATGTACACTTCATGTTTGTAACACTGCAATTGTGTATTTTATTTCTTTTTTCTTTTTTTTTTTTAATCCGATTTTAATTGAAAAAAATATTCAGCCAACGAATAGATTATGAAAATAACCATTAGTTGCAGCCCTAATTTTCTTGCCTTTTTTTAATTTAGGGCATTGTTTTTTCGACTTTTCACTATGGTTATAGGTCATCAGAATTGTGTTGTGTCCCTTATGGCTGACTTTATTATATATATATAAAAAAAACATAACTGATGCAAATCTCACCTTTTTTCTTTCTCTAGGCCATGGACACAGCCATTCTTCATTTAATGGTTCCTTAAGCCATGGGCACAGCCATAGTGGGGGTCACGGGCATAGCCATGGCACAGGTCATGGTCACAGCCATGAAAGCGATCATGGGCATGGACACGAGCATGGACACGGCCATAAACATGATCACCATTTTGGCTCTCGTAACGGTACGTTAAAATAAGTGTGTGTCAGCCTCCTGGATTTGGGGCCCATTGGGGCATGTTTTACTTTGCCATTTATACAAGTTTGCTTAGTCCTACATTAAAGAGATTACCCGCTCGTACAATTAAATGTATGCAGCATTTACAGGAAATGTATGATTTGTGCTATTGAGGACTAGGTCACTGGAACTTCATAAGAAGATGCATAGATATGAACTGTGCCATTGACACTAGTGGCACAGATTGTATTGTTAAATTTACCGAACGTGTAATTGGGGCCCTACCATTAACTATATACAGCTATTCACATAATATGGGATCAGTAATTATTTGACCCCCAAGGGGGCCCTACTGTCCTATATTCAAATAGTACATGTAAATACAATTCTGAGCACTCCTCTTTGCACTGGACTGCATACACAATGTTGTTCATCTTGACGCCAAAACACAAGATGAACAACATTGTGTATGCAGTCCAGTGCAGTGAGGAGATCTTTGAATTGTATGTCGGTGAAACAAAACAGCAGCTACACCAGCATATGGCAAAGCATAGAAGAGCCAAACCCTCTGGTCAGGATTCGGCAGTATACCTACATCTAAAGGAAAAAGGTCACTCCTTTTGCTAGTCAAGTATGCATCCTAGACAGGGAGGAGGACTGGTTCAAAAGAGGTGTGAAAGAGGCCATTTATGTAAAAATGGAGAAGCCAAGCTTGAATAGAGGTGGGGGAGGGGTGAGACATCTATTGTCTGCCACATACAATGCTGTTTTAACACCTCTCTCTGGGCAGGTTATTTGCCATCTAGCTCCAGTTATGCAATTGCAATCAACTACTGGTTGTGACTAACAGATTATGTGGATTGGAACAACATTCACCATATTTATTCTCAGATAATTTTTGTACAAGTCATTCTGAACTGAGAAAGCTGGTTAGATGACCAGTGAAACGTCTTCAAGAAAAATACAGCAAGTTCCGTTGCCTTGACTGATTTTTACAGATAGTATGGTATACAGTATAGCACAGTGTAAATGATATACACTACTGTGTACAAAGAGTGGTGTGGAGTATTGTTTGTACAGCAATGCAGAGTATAACCTGTACAGAACGAAATGGGATGATGTATACAGTCTAATATACAGCACAGTGTATGAAGGGTGTGCAGATTAGAATGCACAGAACAATGTATAGAGTAGAACTATGCAGTAATGGTTTTCTTGTAACGGTCTGTGCAAAGAGACTTTGCCAGACCACTTTTCTGTGGGTCAAACCCTTTTTGCTCCCCTGCACCTGTAGCCATGGGAGCTAATGTTGCTGAGCCTAGGTGTCCACCATGACTACCTCAAGGACCCAAGCACTGCCTTGCCCTTTGGGTCTGTATAGAATTTTATAGATGCTTTGGCTGTAATTCTTTTCATCCTCCCTGCTACCACAATAAGCACCACATATAGATGTCTGGGGTGTGCAAGGCTCGAAGTCTAGAGTAACATCTTTTGCATGAAAACGTGCTTGATGTCTTTAAATGCTTGTTAAAATGCACCTAAACACATACATCTGCATCAAAATGTGCATTAACAAACCAAGATGCATGCATTGGAACACATGGACAGTGTCCGTCCAGCCTAGCAGTTGGTGTGTCACAGCTACTGATAATGGTACTGAGGCTGAACGCATACTGTAACGATTAAAATAGTTTGCCTTAATGCCTTTCTGCTCTCTAGATTATTCTGGACATATGCTTTTATAGTGCACTAGATTGCAGCATTTTTAACTTTACTGTTTGAATCCAGCCTTATTCACCCTATAGAACTCATCACCCCTTCTTTCCATTAATATCATTTTTTTTGCCCAGCTCTCATAACTTAGAATGTCCATTCATACACAGAGGCTTGATTCTAGGATGACCCTTGGAATGTATTGTTCTGTTTACATGTCTATCAGAGCTTGAGATACTTGTGAAATAGTATCAGGCATACCTCACTGTACAATCAGTGCTACATTAGATGACTGATGTGCGTGCCTTTTTCAGGTACACATCTCCTTGCTCTGTGACTAATATGTATTTTTCCAATTCTAGATGAACCTCCAGAGGAGATTAGGGGGCCCAGCAAGCAGATTTTAGAAGGTATGTGTTAACTTTACCTACATGTGGTTTTGTTGCATCATTTTAGCGCAGACATGCCAAACCAGTGGTGTACATTGCAAAAGGTTTAAATGTAAAAGTCTTGGTACCAACAGTGTGTGATATTTATGAGCTTAAATCAAAGTGCTAGGTTAATGTAGATCCAAGGAATGATGTTGGCTGACAAATCTTAAAATACAGTGAGGGGAATGTATCAAAACTGGAGCAGACAAAATTTGGAGCAGCTGTGCATTGAAACCAATCTGTGTCTCGCTTTCATTTTCAAACCTTAACTGAACAAACTGAAGAGAGAAGCTGATTGGTTGTTATGGGCAACTGTTTCAGATTCTGTCTGCTCCTGTTTTGATAAATGCCCTCCAGTGTGATTGCCTGAATTTGGGTTCCATGGTTTAGCGTGACTAGTCTGTAACTAATGTTGCCAGCAGATGGAAGCATAACACTAGTATTGTTGTATAGGGATTGGGATCACCAGTAAAGACGTTCTGGGTTATGAATTTTGCACATCTCAATGATTAAAATCATTCTAGTAGATATTATTCAAATCTTTCTGAAAAATTCCATTACATACTGTTGCTGTATAAATATTCAGACTGTAATTTAAATGTTGCACATTGTGAGGGCTGCATAGCACCTTTTTTATAGCATGGGCAGCACAGTGGCGTATTGGTTAGCGCTTCTGCTTCGCAGCACTGGGGGTCCCGGTTCGAATCCCGGCCAGGTCACGATCTGCAAGGAGTTTGCATGTTCTCCCTGTGCTTGCTTGGGTTTCCTCCGGGTACTCCGGTTTCCTCCCACACTCCAAAGACATGCTGGTAGGTTAATTGGTTCCTTTCTAAGCTGGCCCTCTTATGTATGCATGTGAGATAGCGACCTTAGATTGTAAGCTCCTTGAGGGTAGGGACTGACTATGTAAAGCGCTGCGTAAATTGTCAGTGCTATATAAATACCTGTAATAAATAAATCACGGAATAAAGTCCAACTTTGATATAATGAAACGTTTTGTTTTTTTCTAGGTGTATTTTTGCACATTGTTGCAGACACTCTGGGCAGCATAGGGGTGATTATCTCTACTCTTCTAATGCAGCACTACGGATGGATGATTGCCGACCCCATTTGTTCCATGCTTATTGCTATGCTTATTTTCGTCAGGTGAGCGCAAGAAGTATATTTAACTTTGGTTCTTTTAAAGATGTGAAATAGCCCCCTGTTAGTGTGCTACTGTTAAACTGTAAAGCTGACCATACACTGTTGGATTTGTTTCCTTTTACCCTGAGGGCTGAAGAAAAAAAAATTAACAGATTCCTCCATCAATGCTAAACAGCGTAGATGAATGAATCTTCCGCTGGGTTATTGTATCCTGACAGCTGCGGGTGTGCCGCTGTCAGAATTCCCAAACAGAGGTTGCAGCTGTTGTCTGCGGTCACTGATCGGCTGAGAATCTGCCCAGCTCCTTCAGTTTTCTGATTGAAGGATGTTGGGAGGAAGGCTGGAGAAGGAGCCACCTACTGAGCGAAATTCACTCAATGTTTGGCGTCCTCACCCTTTCATCCAGTTTTGTGTGTAAACCCATGCACTTGCCGTAATGCCTCCTTATTAAATGTTATTTTAATACATATTCTACGTGTTTTATCTGAATTCAGCATTTTCATATGCTTCAAAGTGTTCTATCAATCTAGATGATGGCTTAAGAGAGGGGGGAGAGCAGAGTGCAGGGCAAAACCCGTTACTGCATATTGTCCTGGGTGTAATAAAATACTAAAATAGATTATATTAAGGATGAGGGTGGGGGATTGGGAAACACAACTCTAGCAGGCACTTATAGCAAAAATGCATACTTTGACCGAGCTGTGCAGCTTAAAGTCAGGTCACTGACCTAGCTTGCTAAATGGCAGAGCTGTTTAAATGTCAAGACTGCACGGACAAAAATTAAATTCTCTTTCAGCAGGTAAAACCGCCCCGTTGTATGTATTTGATTGGTGCATTTAGCCTGGTGTTTCAGTTTTACCTTCAAGGTGAACATTAGTGCAATTTTAAGTAAAGCAAAAACTCTAGCCCCAGGATAAATGAAACCCGCTGACACCCATTTTTGCTGCAGTTGCTTGTTTCAAAGTTGCGAGTCCATAAATTCTGCCCGACCGCAAAGGAAAAAAATGTGCAGTATTTCCAATACATTTGAAAGGCAAATGGGTAGCGTTCTAATGTTCAGATATATTTAAATATTATTCGTAAATGTATCTGATTTACAGTTCCCCATGATTATCATTTTATTACTGTAATTCTAATCTGCTGCTTTAGAGCGATGGTGGATTGTGACTGTTGGCACAAATTCTTGTGACTGGTGGACCACAGCTATTGATTTTGAAATAATTCCCCAGAACAAGTATGTGGTGCAAGATTTTGGGTAGAAGGGAAACTAAACCTCTAATGAGGAAGTGGTTCCAAAAATGGGTTTCTCTACCTGCTAAGGTCGAATAAGTCGCTTGGTGGCTCTGTCACAGTGACAAATCTGGTACTAGTGTTGTGCCTATTACTTTGTTACAAAAGGGAGACATTCCTTTTAATGTATAGCAACTCACCCCTGCTATACATTTAATGAATGCCCCATGGGAGTTGTAGTTTCACCATAGCTCTGGGGTAGGCAACCTCGGCACTAATCTACAGTATATTAGCAGCACCAAATACAGGAAACCTTGAATCCCCACATAGAGCAAGTAGATGGTGGCAGTGATTTTTGTAGTTTGTGTGCCCCAAAAGATGCATGGGAATAAACAACCAACCACGTGGTAGAAAAGTCACTCGCAAACCAATAAGAATTTCAGTCAATGTTCTTTTCCTGTTCAAAAGAATTGTCAGATCGTATAGCGACGTTTCGGAACCATATAGGTCCCTTCTTCAGGCAAACATTTACACAAACAAATACGCAGAAATACGTTGCCCGAACGCATCTCGGATCCATTCTGTTTTTGCGCATCTTTACGCAGCGCAAATATACAGCTCCATACGCAGCTATGTGTATGGAGCCATTTATTTGCTTATTATTATACAGGATTTATAGAACGCCAACAGTTTTCGCATAGCTTTACAATATAAGGAAGACCTTACAATCGCAATACAATTCAAGACAAGATGGTAAGGAGGGCCCTGCCCGTGAGGGCTTACAATCTAAAAGATATGCTGCATATGGGACAATAAGTGCAGCATATTGTACGGCAGTGTGAATGAGGCCTAAGAACTCTTTATTTTCAGTATTAAAAATGCATATGTGTTTACATACATTTTTATTAAGCACATTTTACATGCAGTGTATGTTTGTATGCACCTTTTACATGGGTGTGTTTTACAGCAGTAAAATGCATGCTAAAGAGGAACTCCAGGCAAAAATTACCTTAACCCTTGCAGTGGGGCTACCCCCACACTACAAGGGTACAGTGCTCGGTTTCATTTAGGAGCGACCATAACAAAGTTATACTCGCCCAAACCTTGCAGCCGTCTGGCCCTTAAATCTGTTCCTGAAGCGTCTCTCCTACGCCACTCCCAGCTATGGTATGTCCCTGGGCGTCCTCGCATCCAATACACAGTGTATTGGAAGTGATGACTCATGGAATCTTTGACCGCTGGAATCTTTTGACCGCTGGAGCAGAGGGGGATAGAGGCTGAAGGAACTGGCCTAGGAACAAGCCGGTTGTGAGATTTGGGCGAGTATAACTTTATTTTCACTCTTAGACAGAAAGAAGCAGTTAACGCTTGCTGTGCGGGGGTAGCCTCTCTGCAGGCGTTAAGTTTGTGTTTGCTCAGAGTTTGTTCTTTAAAGAGTATCTTCACTCTTACTAGCTTAAACGAAATTCTCTCTAATAATTACCCTTGTATGAGAATACAAAAAAAAACATCCTTCCTAGTCCTTAAGAGTCTCGCCGGTATGTGTTCGCTCGATTCCCGATCTACTGAGCCGACCTGTGACAATTTCATTGTCACAGGTCGGCTCAGATTATGAGGCTGAGTGACAATCACTCGCCTCATAATTCTCCTTTTTAATCATGATTGCTTAAAAAAAAAAAACGCATTTTGAGTACGTTTAAAATTGTTTGTATTTGCAGGTAGCTTATTGAAATCTACACTGGAATTTCCATTTTTCTTTTGTGCTGTAATTGCTTTAAAATCAGAATATAGTATTAAAAACTATGTTCTAATGGAATGTTTAGAGAACATGTCCTGTTGGATACATGTACAAGTTTTTGTTTGAAATACTAACATCATGGCGTATGCTACAGGTTTTTAGTCACAGGATGGTACCGGCCCATGATGGGTATGTCTAAACCAGTTTATTTCAGCACTGACTTTGTGGTCTGTCATCGGTTCCCTGCTTATACATTTTTGAGCACAGCCTCTAACTATATATTAGAGCAACATAAATTGTGTTCTCTTTTGCATATGTGTTGTGGTATCTGCTGTCACCACAGCTCTCTGTGCACACGACTTGTAGTCCATTATGGCTTTTGTCATCTGTGTCACATCTGGGTACTTTTTGTTTTCCTGATTTGAATGGGTTTCCTGTGACTGTAAATTGGCCTCCACCCAAAGGTTGCCCTTTTGTTTTTGGTTTAATTTCATGCTTCACCAACCCTGAATTCTTCATCTATAGACCCATAATAAAATAAAATCTTTTAAATAAAATAATGCTTGGGAGCCCATAACTAGGGTCACAATTGTATGTCGTTTTAATGTGCTTTAATTAGTTAGAAATTGCCGTTTCCAAAATCACATTGGTTTCATTAAGCTCCTCTTACATATGGCTAGCAAAACCAAGGTCAAATTCTTGCATATTATTCTTGCAGTGTACATAAAGCTAAAAATAAAAAACACATATGCTGTACATCTCTGCATCTGCACATATTTCTGTGTTTTATCCCTTCGATGACCCTGTAAGTACAAAAAAAAAAGCACTTGGCTAGCAACCACTTTTCACCCCTCCCCCCCAGGCCTTCATCTTGTGCTCTTTAAATCCCCTTCAGTCCCAGAGCGTTTGCTTATTTATTTAATTTTTTGGCACTGTCCTGGCTCCACACCTTATATCCTTTTAGATTTTGTAGTCTACCTGAACATTATTTTACATAATTTCTTTCAGCACAGATAGAGCTTTAATTTGGTAGCAGACCCACATACAAATATTTTTATTGGAAGTTGGAAAAAATGCACCTGCTTGAAATTTGTTTAAATTGGTACACAACATAGAGATATAATCAAGTTGCGTTGGCTAGGGCACATTTTAACACACAATGGCTTTTTTGCACTGGTTTGCAGTCGCTAAAAAGTCAAATGATGGTGCATTCTCTTAACCTTAGAATGTGATGCTTGCGGATGATTTATCATCATATATATTTATAGTACAACAAATAAAGTTTTTAGATTCCATCCTACACTAATTACCTATCAAGATCCCTCCAGTTTTTTATCAGTTCAGTACACACTTTATTCAACAGTACCAACCCCCTGATGAAGGGGGGGAGGGCCTTTGAACGCCTAAAACGTGTTGATGTTTATGATAGGGGTCTGTATAAAATGGAATGCTGGTTTTATACTAATAAAACCAGCATTCCATTTAACACAGATACTGAACCCTGCACATCCTGCTATGAAATGTTTTAGCTGGCGTTGAGCTTTAATGCTAACACCACTACAGAAAGGGTTCCTGGTAATGCATTATTATACAAGATTGAGGCCTTGTTCACACCAAGCGCGTTCCAGGAGCAGAGCAGTTACAGACCGGAGCAAAACTGCGTCCAATGTATTCCAATGGTATTTTTAGCTCCAGTTCACACTGCAGCGTTCCGTTCCAGAGCAGGTAAAAAAACTGCAGCAAGCCCTATTTTACCTGCTCTGGAACGCATGCAAACACCCTGGAACGCACTGAAAGCCCATTTTAAACTAAAAAATAAATATATATATTTTTTAACCAAAAACGTCCCGGAACGTATCAAAAACGCAGCACAACCCACTGCACTGCGTGTGCAGAAACTCATGCAAATCTGCTCTGCATTTGGTGTGAACAAGGCCTTATATAGCACCAACAATTTGCACAGTGCTTTACAAAATGGAGGAGACAGTACAGTTGCAATACAATTTCAGTACAATTGGGTTGGAGGGCCCTGCTCGTGAGAGTTTACAATCTTGATAATATCTAGAGCCTAGGCCCTAAAGAAGGGGAAGGCCCCTTCAGCCCTCCAGCTGTGGTGCAACTACAAATGCCATTAGGCTTTGCAATTATCTGAAAGCCACAAGTACGACTCCCAGAGGCTGATGCATGATGGATTTGTAGTTTCACCACACCTGAAGGTCCGGTGTTTGTCTACCCCTACTCTAGAGTGATGCTGGCCAAAGCAGGCCTTTCCATGCAAGGCTGTGTGAAGCAGTTTTAGTTTGACCTTTTTACCCTTGTCACTTGTTTGAAAGTAGTTGGGTGTACAGGAAGCAATGTGGAGATAGTGGGCATGTGCCGAGCAGTAAATGTAAGCTGAGGAAGGTAGTGGGCAGTGAATTTGGGTTGAAAAAGTTGGTGTGGCCTGCAGATGAAGGTGTGACTGCCTGTGCTGCCGATACTTGCACTTGAGTTCCACCTGCATAACTTACAGACAGTGGTGCACAATACTACAGAACAACAAGTTGTCTTCCATTAAAAGCCATAATGTTTCCTGTTTTTACTCAGGAATAACTATGATACCTTTTTTCTTTCAGTGTTATACCTTTACTCAAACAGTCGATTGGTATCCTGATGCAACGGACTCCTCCTTCCTTGGATAATGTACTTCCCGAGTGTTACCAGAGGGTATGTTTATATACTCTGAACTTTTTCTTGCAGCACAGCTCATGTCAGATATAAGAAATACTTTAGTTTTACGTATGATAACGAATATGAAACGACTGCTTAAGCAACTACATGTGGTCTGTATCCTCTTCCCATAAACCACTGCAGAACTGAAATCTGTTTTGAGAGGTTTGTAAGAGGCAATGAAAGCTCTATTGCAGGGGTAGCCAAACGTCGGCCTTCCAGCTATGGTGAAACTACAAATCCTATAAGGTATTGCAGGACTGTGACAGCCACATGGCTTCCATAGGCAGATGCATGATAGGATTTGTATTTTCACCACAGCTGCAGGGACCAAGTTTGGTTACTTCTGCTTTTATTGCATTAAGTGTCATGTGTTTTCAGGCATTGTGTCCAGTGAAACTGTTCCAGAACAGTCTATATTGTAACGATTATCGTTTTCCTGACCGTTAAAGGAGAACTATGAGGTGACTGAAAATCGCTCATCCTCATAGTTCGAGCCGACGTGCGACACTGAAACTGTTACACTTCGGCTCAATAGATCGGGAAGTGAGCAAACGCATACCGTCGTTCGCTCACTTCTCGATCATCTCCATGCCGAGAGTGGTGACTTGTCAGTCGCAGGGATTCTCCCCCCCCTCTCCGATCCTCCAGCGCTTACTGGGGGAAGGGCGGGTACAGCTGGCTCTTGATAGGCAGAGCCCGCTGTCACTCATGCAGCTGGGTGGATATCGACAGTAATGATGGGATCCGTCCCAACTGCGGTGGTCTCGGTATACCGCAAGCTGTAGTTTGCGATATACTGAGCTTTGGGTCATGGGATGACGCTAGTATATGTCCTCCCGTGACCCCTAAGAGAAGTATGGGGAAAAAACACTATCCCCATAGTTCTCTTTTAAGTTCCTTCCTTTAATGGTAATCAAGTTGTGGGCTTGCACGGTATTATGGAGTGGGTGGCCACTAACACTTGTGAAAGCTCCAAGACTGCTCCTTGCCTTGCAGGTAACTTAGGAAAGTGTGCTTGCTGTAATTAGTCATCCCAACAGCTTCTTGTGTTAAAACAATATCCTGATTTTCCGTTTGAGTGGAACGCCTCTATGAATTGCTTTGGTCACACTGGATAATTTGCCTCCTATAGGTGCAGCAGTTACAGGGCGTTTACCACCTTCAAGACCCACATTTCTGGACCCTCTGCACAGACGTTTATGTTGGGACTCTGAAGCTGGTAGTTGGGCCTGAGGCTGATACCCGCTGGATTCTCAGTCAGACTCATAATATTTTCACACAGGTAGGAGCTTCTTCATATTGTCTTCCTGAAACTTTCATCTTGCGTTCACGTTCTAAGTAATATCTGTTTATGTTCTAAATAAAAGTTCAAGTAGGATAGGTGCGTGTGCAACGTATTAGCTGTGTGGGGTAAAAAAAGACTGCATCCAGTCAGCACTAGAGTAGTGTTTGGTATTAAAGATAGTATTATCTGACCAGCTGATTTTACCTGTAGATGCCCATTTATTAGGGGGGCAATCTTGGATGACCTTGAAGGTGTGAGGGCTGCCACTGCCTATTTGAAAATGCTAGTTCGCTAGCTGTAATGCTGGCCTTTTGGCTTAAGTGCTTTAGGCCACTGACCCAGAGCAAGTATGCAGACCAGATGCTTGACTTCATTTCCCTCATGTTTGTGAAGCAATAAAATAAAACCAGAGGCAGCCACGTGGCTAGCACTTCTAAAAGAAGCTTAGTCACTGTATTTCTGTCACGACAGGCTCTCACAATGAAGCCCCATATAAAAAATAAATAGTATTTTATGGGTGTAAAATACATCCATCTGAGCCATGTTGTTTTACATTTTTAGACTTTCAGTTGATCCTTGTATAGTCTAAGTAATTATGGGCAAAGGGGTTTTCTCTATCATTCTGAGAATAATCTGTAAGGCTGGCCATACACCTATAGATTTTCTGTGGTCAGATGGAAAAAGTGCAACAGATTCCTCCATCTACGCTAAACTGTGTGGATGGAGGAATCTCCCACTGCGCGAAGGTTCACGATCTAGTTCATCGGCCCCGCTGGCTGTCAAAACACCTGAACAATGCCTGCATCCAATCAGATTGTTCAGGTAGTTTGAGAGCCAGCGGGGCCGACTAGCAAGATATTGAAGCTTTGCCCAGTGGGAGATTCCTCCATCCACACAGTTTAGCGTAGATGGAGGGATCTGTTACACTTTTTTCCATCCCACCATAGGGTTATAGAAAATCTATAGGTGTATAACCCAGCCTTAGTGTCCATCTCTTGTTCTGGTTTTCAGGCATAAATGGAAAGAAGGCAATACTGAAATCTGCTCTTATTGTAATAGTTCGAAATGCTAAAAAATAGTAACACGTGACTAACGGTATTGTCTATTGGCATATCACTAGACATGAGAAAGTATAGTATGGAATATAAGAATGTATTCTGTTTTGTTGCTTGACAGAACTAAAGAACAAATAGATTTCTGTACTCTGTGTAAAATCCTTTTCTTGAAGTCCATTGAGGGACACAGGAAGTCTTAAACATTTGGGTTATCTGCCATGTACAGGAGGATTGGACATTTGCAAACAAAAAACTGTAGGCCAGCCCACGATGACCCCTTCTACCAGCATGCTTCTGTTTTGTAGTAAAGAAGTCCAAGAGCATGATCATGAACGTAGAGGGGCTTTTACTGCAAGTACAAAAATCCTATTTTCTTTCTCGTCCATTGAGGGGCACATGAAGTCCTAAACCTTCGGGGCTTCCAAAAAACAGTGCAAATCAGGATGCGCCAACAGAGCAAACCACTGCTAATATGTATAATATAATATACCAACTTAAACACCTCCAAGGACTTTAGGCCAAAAGCTGACATCAGGTAAGGCCAAAACGTCCCCCTGGTAGAACCATAAGAGAACAGAAGACTGCGGTACCCTACAAGTCTGAGAAAGAGTTGCCTGTTGTAGGAAAGTCCAAGATGCCCTCACAGATGAGGTAGAATGCGAGGAAGAGATGGACTCACTCTCACTGCCCCAACTACATCCAGACAATGGAGGGAAATTTGCAGTTGATGAATTGGAGCTGGACAAAGAGATGGGAGGACAATGTCCTGGTTGACATGAAAGTCAGAAACTATCTTGGCCAAGAAGGCAGCTCTGTACTTCAACGCCACGTCCCTATTCAAGAGCAAAAAGGGTCCTTTAAGATCAGACTGCCGGTTCAGACAGATAGCTACAAGGAAACTCGCCTTGATGGTGATAACGGGGAATGCCCTTTATAGTTTCAAACAGCAGTTTCTGAAGCACAGATGGTACCAGATTCAGATGCCATAGAGTCACTGGGGAACAGACAGGGTGAGCTAAATGGAAGAACCCCCTGTTTTAATCAAAGAATAGGAGACCCTTGTTTAGTGCTGACATGTGGATGGTCTGGCAGGGCCCAAGGTGCATCTGCCAGAAGCTTTAACAGGTTGTCCTACCACAGCCACCTGGACCAGCCTGGAGTAAGAAGGATCCCTGGAATGCCCTCCTTCCTCGTCTGTTCAGCAGGATTGAGTTGGAAGTTTTAAGGAAGGAAAGACATAAATCAGGATGTATGGAGACCACAGAGCCACCAGATACAGGTTTGCATCTGGATACAAACCTGCCTAGTTCGTTGTTGAATCTGGAGGTTCACATCTTGTGTCCCCAACCTGTGACACAGGTCCTTGAACACTTCCAAGTGTAGCGACCACTCTCCCAGATATAGGAGCATCCAGCTGAGGAAATCTGCCTGCCAATTGTCCATTCATGGAATGTACATGGCTTACAAGGCTGGAATGTGTCGTACTGCCCAGGAAAAAATCCGTTCCACCTCTCTTGCCACAAGACTGATGGCTCATGTATGCCACCATATGGTATTTTCCAATTGAATCCAGATTGGCTGATCCTCCAGCTGGTTGGTTCTAATGCTGAAGAGGTTGCCCAAAGCTTCAAGATTCCTATGGTGACCAAGCCTTCTGCACAAACAGGTTTCCCAGGACTACTCACTAGCCCAACAGGCTCATGTCCAGTGTGAGAATCCTCCAAATGACATCAGTGAAAGACTTTACTATCCCCAGAGCCAGAATCCTCAGCCACCAAGCCAGGGATTGGTATGGTCTTTGCCATCAACCAAATTAGCCTGTCCAGAGATTGGACTGATTTTGTCCCACAGTGACAGAATGTTGTGTTGCAGAGGTCTGAATTGAAATTGGGCAAGGGCAACTGCCTCAAAGGAGGTTTTCATCAGCTTCAAGATTCTCATGCAGAAACAGATAGTCAGACAGCTAATGGACTGAGGAATCTAACCCTGGAACATTCTCTAAATGTTCAGGAGCCACCAAACCTCTATAATGTCTGGACCATCAAAGAAATGTCTGACTGAGCCCTCACTGACTGCACCCTCAACAGGAGGTTCTCTGAGTATTCCACAAGAACACAATAGGGCTAACACTGGGACCTGCACTTTGGTGAACAACTGAGGTGCAGAGGATAGGCTGAAAGTATGTGCACAAACTAGTAGTGTAGGGGTCCCAGGGCAAAACAAAAAAATTGCTGACGCGTTGGAAATATGGGCACAGGCAAGTAAGCATCTTTGATGTCCACTGACACAAGAAAACCTTTCTGGCAGAGGGAGGCAGTGGCAGCTCGAGTGGATTCCATTCAGAATTTTTGAGCCAGAATGTAACCTTCAGTGCCTTGAGGCTCCCTTTTGGATTTTGGAACAGTGAGCTGGTTGGTGTAAAACCTTTTGAAACTGGTGGGCAATGACGCCTTGGACCTGACGAAGATCTGCCAGTCTGTGTGGAGACGCAGGAAGGTTGGAAGTGGGAAAAAGAGAAGGCATCATGTGGACTCTAGTGCCTGAAGGTAACTTCCAGGCTAGCCCCACAACTTCGAGTCCAGAAGGTCTGGATGCAGTCCTATCCAAAATCATGCAGAGGTTGTGCCTGATCGCCGCAGATTGATGGGGAAGCCTCCAGCAGGGGTGTAGATGAGTCTTGATTAAATAAATTTGGAAAAACAAGTGATCGTAAAATAGGTTCGTTTTTGCAACAGCAGATCTGAATAGACATCCTTCCTCTTAGCAACATGCCTCAGTTTTATGATGGTGTCCTAACAGAAGCTGTAATCCTGAGCAGGCCTATAGAGGTATGTTTTTTTTTTTTTGCAAATCCTGTTTCCAATCCTCTTTGTAGGCAGCAATAAACCTGAAAGTTTTAAGATTTCACGTGGCCCTCAATAGATGAGAAAGAAACAAACATAGTTAAGGATCTTTTGCATGTTTCCATAAATAAATTTTGTATTCTGGCAAAACATCAGGCCTAATTCACATTTCCTATTTTATTTTTGCCTATATTAATGAAATTGTAACTGATTTCTCTGTTTCTACAGGCTGGCGTTAGGCAACTATACGTACAGATAGAATCTGCAGCAATGTAATCCCTCAGCTGACCTCATATCGGACCAAAGTGTAGACCTGAACACTAGGACCTGAGCTCCTACTCTGATAAAGCCACTGCAGCGATGCACCCATTGGGACCAAGTCTCACTCGTCTGCCTGTGGGCAGAGAGGGTCTCCCATTTGTGCCACATTTCCTTCAATTGCCAATGTACTTTTTTTACAGTGTAAGGACTGCATATCGGATGTTGCCTTTAACACTGTCCAAGATACCCGGTGCCTCTTATGAAGTCATGATGTACTGTTGAGCTGTATTTCTTACAGCCATTCTGCCAGTCACACCATCAGATATACATATATGCACCTTAGGTCTATTGACTCTTCATCCAAGGATAGACTTGAACTGAAACCAAATGCATGCAGCATCTCTCTCGGTGGACATGGAGGCCAATATTATGAAATGCAGCATCCTCATACAAACTGTTGTAACTTGCCCAACTCCAATCAATGTCGGGGAACACAGTCCATTGTGCTGAATACAGTGCTGTGTTTGGCCAACCTCTGTTATAGAAAAAAAATACCTGACCTCTTCATTGCTTATTGTAAAGAACAGGGAAGTAGTTTATGCTTCAGACTAGTAGATTTCTGTGAACAGTGTTATAATTCGCTAAACCAGCAAGGCTGCCAATGAGCAAAGTGACTCTTTGCCAGTTACAGCCCCCACTTAGAAACTGGATAGTAATGCTATAACCCAAGTGCCTTTCCCTACCATTTGGTTGGGAGACCTGATGCCCCATAGCACAGCGGGGTGTGACCTATGCTATGTCTTGATGTCATCGTGGTTGTATCCTGCATTCTATCTGTCCATCTGGGATGTTTCTCTGCAGCCTATAGTTTTATTGCTGCATCACAGAAAAGCTGGATGTAAGATTATAACAAAGAAAAAAAGAAACCAATATACAACGATTTAACTGGCACACAGAAGCGCTATCATTTTGGAAGTGACATCCAATAGTCTGTTTTATCAGACTTCCTCCCATAAATGCCTTTTTATTCTGTGACTTTTTATGTCTGGAAACGAAGGTTCTGTTGCTGTGCAGACAATACTGTGATTATGTAAAGTTTGGAATAGCCTGTGTTCATCTCTTATTTCAGGATATCTAACTTTCTACAAAAAAGGGTATTGCCTTCATTTTCAGCACAAGGGCTAAAGAAAATACCCAGAATCGTAAAGTACAAATGTGCAAAGTAACTCTGCTTTTGAGCCATGAGTCCCGGCAATTGTTAATGTTTTTAATGTGAGGGGTTTTAATGAAAATAATTTGAATTACGACCAGGAGAAATGTAATGCATAGATGAGATTGTCCATTGTGCAATCTTTACAAGATCCTTTTATCCGTTGTGCCATGCTTTTAGCACCCCCCCTTTAAAGGAACTGTAGGCATATGTAACAAGCTATCCATAATTTAAGCTTTTTAATTGATGACTATTAATATGGGACATGTCCAGATTAAGTTCACTCTAAACTGGCATTTTAGGTACAGTGAAAATTGGCACAATGTTATCCCTTGCTGGTGTTAATTTTTTGGTGAGATTTTTGCTTCTAGAGTTTCTATCCCAGCATCTCTTTATGAAGTGTAGGCATCTGATTCATCCCTCTGTATTATCTGTAACGTAAGATAAATTAATATTCTAAAACATTATGATGACTATGGCAGGTGGGCAGAGGTGGTAATTCAAGTGTGAGGATCTCAATGCTGGAGTCATTGACAGGTGGGTATTACAACCTACCCATAACGGTAATATTACTTTTGAGTGGAATGACTCTTTAGAGTCTTACCTTCCATACTGTTCTCTTTTTGTAGTTGAATTCTACCTTCTGTCCCGTTGTGGACGCCAACTCTTATTTAATACTGTTTGTGTCCCACATAGTGTTAAAAGAAGTTGTTTCTAGTTGTGCTGCATTGGCAAACTGGAAACGAACATGGTACAACCGAGCGTAAACCTATATAGCCCCATGTGTTTGATTTTTGTATAAGATTATTATGTGATGTGTAGTAACTCATAGCAACCAATTGCAATTCATTTTTCACTCACCTGACTTCACTGAAGTGCATTCTGGTTGCTAGGAACAACTGCATTTTGCACTTCATTAACAGTCCTTGTACTAGTTATATGGCTTTATTTAAATTTTTTTTTTTTTAACAGTACAGAGCAAAAAAAAGAAGTCACATGGCTAAAAATAATTGTTATGGCCAATACCTGAATTGATGGTCATATGATCTGACTGCAGTTCTGGCTATGAAAAAAAGCCCTGATTTTTTTTTTAAAGTGGTTACTGTTCTAGAAATCTTGAAATTCCATATCGACACAAGCAACAAAAGCAAACCATCAGGCTGGTTTTTCATGTTTTCATCCATTCTTGATAAACGGATTAGTGTACTAATGAAGTTGGATGCCATCTTGTGATCAGATTGTCTGGTTAGTTTTTCAATATCCATTCATCTTTAGGCCAATAGTGAAAGTGTACAAAAACAATCAATGGTTTTTGGAGCAGGACAAACTGTATCTTTCTGACTTCATAATAAAATAAAAGGAACGAGTACTCTTTTACAATCTTGTTTGCTAGCTTTAAATGATCTTATCTTATATGACCTTTTTAAAATATTGGTTAATGACTTTGGGTAAATAAATTATGTCCAGTCAGTTCACACCTGAAGTATAGCAGATAGAAGTGCAGGCAGTCTGTATAACGTTATAGGAGTGCGGGATTCGTGTACACAGGAGTCATCACAATATGAATTCAGGACTGTTGGTGTCAGCACCATTCTTTAGGACAAGAAAAACGCGCATATTTACAGGACTGTAAAGTGGCCCAAATGAAGATGAAAATGAGGAACTGGATGCAAGTTTTCCATAGGTGAGTCACAATAACTGTGGTTTGGCTGGCAAGTCACAATGGCTCTGGTTCGGCAGCTGTCAATCATTCTAGGGTCCCCCTCAGGGATGGGGGTCACCCAGAGTGGAAGATTCTACATGTAAAAAGTCAATCAAGAAAGCTTGTTTTAGTCTCCTGAATACATTTTGTCATTAAGATTTTGGACTCTTGCATATTTGTCTTGGCGCTCTTGTTAGACTTTTTCCGCAGACTTCACAGTATTCTTTTATACATTCCAAATACAAAAGGGAGGTTTACGAACCCCTGATAGAGATCGATGGCTATAGAGATATATGTACATATACAATTTAAAAAAAAAATGTTTTTGAACAATGCACCAAGGCCACGTTTTAGTCAATAATTATGGTTTCTAAAGCTTGGACAGTCCAGCACTAAACCGTTTGTTATACTGATGGGAGTGGACCAGGTGACAATAGCTCATATGAGTGAATGAAAAATAATACCTCCTGTTTCATATCTTATCAAGATGTGGCAGCAGTGATATGCAACATGTACTGATACATTGAGGGGAATTTATTAAAACTGGAGTAGAAGTGAATGGCAACCAATCAGCTTCTGTGTTTCATTTTTTTTTTAAAGTTCAACTGGAATAAAATGAAGAAAGAAGCTTATTGGTTACTATGGGTAACTGCTCCAGATTCTGTATGCTCCATTTTTGATAAATGCCCCCCATTGTGTAGGTTATTATCTTTCACCTAAGTTGGCGGCAGGTTATTACAGTGAATGGTTATTTTGCCTATCGTAATACATTGGAATCTGGTGCTGGACCCTTGCCTTGATTTAAGCAATGTGCTGCAATTGCAACCTAATGGCGCCAGGAAATTAATCAAAATTTGGACACTGACGTCACGTAAAAGCCTTTCGTGATGTGGTTTTCAGCGGCACGGTTTGTCACTGAGCCAATAGATACAAAAAGGGCAAGGAGGTAACATCTGAGGTATGTAAGAAGAAAAGGTGTGGCCGACCTGTGACAGCATCTGATGAGCTTCACAGTTGACATTTTAGTGAACTGACTAAAGACAACTGGGGAATCCCTCAGTGAGAAGTTTCAGACAGAATAGGCATTTTGCAAGACTGTGTGCATCATATTATTAGTAATCTTGCATATGGGCAGATAGGTGTGTGTGATGGTTTCCATTGAATGGATGAAACCCACCACATTCCTGCATCTACCATACAGTACATTTTTGATGCCTTAGAAATACCATCTTCAAAATTAAAAGGAGACCATCTCAGGGCATTGTGAAAATGATGTGTAGACTTCTATAGTGACAACTACCAAAACATAGCTATTGACCATGTAGAACAATGTATATAATTACAACAGCCAATGTATTATGTGCAAGTCTTTCTTCCTTTTCGTGAAGCTTCTGGCTTTATTCATAATGCTGCCTCTCATGTAAGCTTAGTCATCCCATTTAGAGATGTATACATTCAGTTGTCTAGAGCAGTGTTTTACAGCCAGGGTTCCTTCAGGTGTTGCTCAGGGTTCTTTGAGCAATTCTTGTCTCTCAAATACATAATTAATGACACCAGTGATCTTTTCAGCTGTTTATAAGGGACCATTCTTCCCACTGACCACCAATGTAGGTGAAATTCTTCCTTCTAACCAGCAGTGTAAAAGGGCTCTCCCCCAATGACCATCAATGTAAGGGGGTCCTTCCACTGACAACCACTCCTGTGGCCACTTAAGGGGCACTTCTCTACTAACTAAAAATGTAAGTGGCATTTCTGTACTGGCCACCCATGTGAGGGAACGCCACCATTTTCACTATGTTTAAATTCTGCCCATTATTAACATTCATTATTGGTACAGAAAATAATTGTGTTGTATAGAACAGGCAGGGGTTCACTAAGACTTGAAAGTTATTTCAAGCGTTACTCCATGTTAAACAGTTGAGAAGGCTGGTCTAGAGGATGGAATGAATCCACCATCTTCCAGTGGGTGGCTGGTAATGAGAGGGAGCTTGATGCTGTTGCCTCTACTTTCAGCTAGAGAGCTACAAGGGAGATGGGGAGTTTAAAAGTTAAAAATGTTTCATATGTGTATGCGAATACATCTCTCCCGCTACTACATTGCATTTAAATGTAATCATTTTCATGTTGACAACATTGGGTTACAAGTTGATGGCATGCATGAGAATGCAGGCAAGTAAACACGTTGAAGTTTACACAATTGTTTTCCTTTTCTGCACAAATTACAAAACAACACTATAAAAATGTAATGTCGGTTTCATGCAAAGAAATGTTTCAGTAAAACCACAACTTTTGCAGAAAGTAGTTCAGATAACAAGATTATTTTATTTTTGTGCCAAGTTAAAGCTGTTCCTAATATAGCCATCTATAGGAGACAAAGAAAGATCTGGATGAAGATTTCTACTCTGTGGGGTTGTGCCCCCCCGAGGTCATCTGATGAGGGTTTTTGTATCCTATAGATGACCCAAATGCTGTCTCATCATGTTGTAGTTACAGGAGTTAGATATTTGAGTAACTTAAACTTTCTAGCTTAGGTCTTTCTGCTTTGGGTAAATCGAATTTATGTATAATCTAAAGCCACTTAAAACATTTACATTTTGTTAATTTTGACATATTTGTATTTCACTTTTAGTATTTGCAACAGTTTAAACTGAATTGCAGGGTAGTGTGGGGAAGGGAAGTACAAGTGGGTCCAGTCGGGGGAGGAGGAGGAGGG